ATATAAGCCTTTCTTTAAAAAAATAAAGATACTCTTGGTAAAATACTAAATACTAAATTCCGCTCAAATGGAAAATGAAGGCTTTGGGTGAAAACACTTCATCTTGAGCCAGTGGGATATGGACCTTGGTTGTTAACCACTGAGATAAGGCATGTTGTAGGCTGACAGGGAAGAGAAGCATGGCAGATCCGGTCATCTGCACAGCTCTTGTCTCACAGGCTCTGGATGTAGGACTTCTTGTGGATTTGTGTGAGATGTAGAAGGCATAAAGAGCAGAGTGCCTCAAGGACCCTGCTGTCCTGACTTCTCCTTGGAGTGGACCTGTCTGTGTGTCCCGGAATAGGCTGCACTTTTTTTTATCCTCTCTTGCTTGGCCTCAGCTCCCTCTGCAGGGCCAGTTTCTTCCTCACTCAATTCCAAATAAGCTTCGGAAGACAACCATTTTGGGGTCATCTTGTTCAACTCTTTTTTCAATGTGAGAAGGTCCTGGAATGCATTTAATTCACAGGCCATTTCTAACTGGAACTGCCTGACATCACCCGGACCTGCTAACCTGGCATCCAGGAGAGAGGCCCCAAGAGCCGGAAATCTGCCCAGTGCTCCACGAAGCTGGCCTTCTGCTGTCCCCATGCTTGGCACAGAAGGCAGCAGGGAAAGTGTTTCTCCTCCTAGGTATTCAGGAATGTTTTCAAGGAGCAAATGTACCTCACTTCCAGTTCTAAAATAACATCTGTAGGAAACACTAAGGTCAGTGCAGAGCTCCAAGCATGGAACCTCCCAAACATAATCCACCTGCCCCTGCAGGGAGAACAGTTTGCAAGCGCCAGGAATTCTGCACTTGCCTGCACCCCTGGAGCTCCTGTCTTGCATGAATCCAGGGGAAATCTGACTCCTGAGAGTCAAGAAGGACTCCACAGCCCCACGGCACCAATGGCAAGAAGGTGACTTAAATCAAAAGGAATAAATCTTTGGAGACCTCCATGGCTTACCCTCCCCACTTCCATTGTTCTGGCCCAAGTGCAAACTTCTAGATTATCGTGGCCCTGATCCAACATGGCTGAATCCCCAAAACAACAACAGCCCGTCTTCCCCATGGCCACTTCCTCCTCCTTCCCCACTCCTGCCCTCGATACAACTTCCTTTTACCCCCCCCACCAACACACATGGGGCCTCCAATCAGCTCCTTGTACGTCACTGACCCCGCCCCTCAGGCTCCGCCCCCAGCGAAGGTCCACGAAGTCTCAGCTTCCTGTCTCGGGTCAGAGGATCCCGCCATCTCCCTGCCCTTGATCCTCTCTGTGTCCTCAGAGTTCATAAAGGCTTCCCCTCTCCCTTATTTCTGCTTCTGTGCCACGCCACCAATACAGTGTAACGGTCACAAAGCCCTAGGACGACCAAATTATGAAGCGGTGCGTTTGGCTCACCGTTTTGCAAGGAAGTCCTGGGCCAGGACAGCTTGACCCTCTGGCTGTTGGGCTGCGTCAAGGTGTGCGTCGCCGCAGCAGGCCGCAGAGCCAAGCCACTCCCTGCACGGCCCGGAAGTGAAAAGGAGAAGGAGACCCTGGCCTCCTAGGGACATGTCGTGGTCCTGCTCCCTCCTTGAGGCTTGTACCACCTCACAAGGGTGCTAAGCTAGTGATAAGATTACAAGTTAGAGAAAAATAAGCATGCTCATCACAGCCTGGGTCCTGGGCAGCAGCGGAGAGAAGTGTACCCCAGGCAGAGCGCACAGGGATCCCCTGAGCCAGACACTTCCCAGCCAATGGAATTCAGACTTGTGATCTCAGCCAGGAGTGGCGGCACACACTTGTAGTCCCATCACTCAGGAGGCTGAGGCAGGAAGACCACCAGAGCTCCAGGCCAGCCTGGGCTACACAGTGAGGCCCTATATTAAAAAAAAAAAAAAAAAAAACCTTATGATCCTCCTGCCTCAGCCTCCCACAGTGCTATGGTTACAGGTGTGCACCACCATGCTCCGCCCAGTCGTCTCTTCCTTAAATCTTTCCTTATTCTTCCTGTTCCCAGGAAGACCTGAAACAAGAAAACTGTCTTCAGAGATCATTAGGTTTTGGACCAAGAGAAGCACGAGCAAATGCAGCCCTTTCTGCCCAGATAATCATATGCAGAGAGAGTCAAAGAGGGTCAGTGTCCTTCGAACTTCAGTCCTAAAAGTATGTGTCATATAAATGGGAACTTGGGTTTCTTTGGGACAGATTTGCTGCCTGACCCTGGCCTGCAGGCAGCCAGCACCCTGGGATTAGCCTGTGGCTTAGCAGCTTGTCAGTGAAGGCTGAGTCCTGACCTCCTTCTTGCAGAGTGACAAAGTGACAGTTCTGAAATTGCTGACTCCGGTCTGTGTCCCCCACACCCCACCCCAGCTGAATTTCATAATCAGCGGAAGTCCCTCCAGCCAGGCCACACTTCCTTCAGTGCAGTTCCCAGTGACAATTGATTTATTGCATAAGAATTTGAGGGGTGCTAGGGTCCAACTTGCTTCACCTGAGATTCCAACTCTACTGTAGCCAATGGCTTGAGAAATTTCTCGAAGGCAAAGTGTTTGAGTCACCTATTTATGTTGTAGTGAGATGCCATTTCATGTTTCAAGTTTAGATTTGAAAACAAAAAAGTTTAGATTTGGCCTCCTGACATTAAAAATAAGTCCCAGGGCTGGCGAGATAGCCCAGTGGTCTAAAGCGCCTACTTAGGCAAGCTTAGGTAACTGCAGGGACCGCGGTTTAATTCCTGGCACCACATGCTGTGCCAGCCCCGCCCCCAGGGCAGGCTGAACTGGCCACAAAAAATAAATAGATAAATTATTTTTAAAAATAAAAATAAGTCCCAGTCTTCAGAACCTGCAATGGTGTTAGCATCTAAGGCACAAGGGCTGGGTGGCGTCATTAAGGTTAAGGACTCCAAATGGGAGATCATGCTGGGTGATCCAGCCAGACCCGGTATGACCACAGGCGTCCTGCAAGCTGGACAATCTCTGCAGGGCGTGCTGGTGCCTGCCTATAATGTCAGCCACTCAGGAAGCTGAGGCAGGGAGACTGTAAATTCAAGGCCAACCTGGGTAACATAACAAGAGTCAGTCTTAAAATTAAAAAAAAACCTGTAAAAGTGTGGCACTTACTGCTTGAACTCGTGTTTGGCAAGCACCCTGATGGCTACTCAGTGCCACGTTTGTCCTGTCACGTGGGCCTGGCCACAGAGCCAGCTGGGACCCATCCTGGTGGGCGTCCACGAGGCCACCACTGTCTCCATTTGTGACTCATTTCCATCCTCGGGAGCACTTCGCACCCACAGGAGAAGCTTGTCTTTAGGGAGGGTGACAGCCTCCCCCAGGCCACGGGAGCGCTCGCTCCCAGTGGGGTCACGGAGCGGCGCCTGTCCCACAGGACTGAGCCAGAGCAGCACCTCAGCTCCTGTGCGTTCCAGGGAGGAGGGAGGGCACTAGGATGAGTCTGCTCCTCCCACCCCACTCACCGGGCCCCCAGCGACCTTTGTTGTTTTCTGCAGGGAAAAAAAAAAAAAAAAAAAAAAAGACAGCTGGATCCATCCACAATGCCAGCCTGGGTGGGGTGGGCAGGGATTTTACTCACTTCAGGAGCAAACTGAACGGTGGGGACTCATAGTGGGGGCCGGGGACAGGGCCACAAAACTTCCGAATGGGGTCAGGGAAACTGAACTGACAGCTGTGGCCATGAACCTGGCGCGCACCCTGTTATTAATGAAGTTGTACCACTCAAGGACTTCGCCTAAGTGTCCGGCGCCCTACCTGCTGCTCAGGACATGACACCCAAAGCGCAGCCCTGTAGCATTTGAGTAAAGGCAGAGGCAGGCGGATCTCAGACAGTTTTCTGACCTCCTCTAGCAGTTCCTAAAACCCTTACTCCAGAAGTGCCCGTCCCAAGAGGCAAAGAACATCCTCATCTTCCCCGAGGCTCCAAGAGGAGTCTGGACTGACCATCCTTATCACTGTTGGGCCACTTGTATTCTGCCTTCAGATAGCATCTTGCCACCATTCTCTGCTTCTTCCTTAAACTCAGTAATAAAAAATGAACGCACACCAGGGGTAGCGGCACACGCCTGCAATCCCAGCGCGGCTGACTCAGGAGGCTGAAGCAGGAGGATCACTGTGCGTTCAAGGCCAGCCTGGGCTACACAGTGAGTACATACTCTGAGCTACACAGCAACACTCTACCTCCAAAATAAGCATGTATTTACATATTTGGGGGTCTTCACTTCCAAAGGGTCCCATGTCACATGAAATTTGTGCTACATAACTGTGTGAATTTTTCTCTTGCTACTCTGTGTTTTACTAGAGGGATCTCAGCCATAAGCCCATGGATAGGTGATAGGAGAGATCTCAAAATGGTATAATAATAAGCTTTTGAAACCAGAACACAGGGACTCTGCGAGCTGCGACCCTCGGCACGTGCGCGAGTGCACGAGGTGACAGCGGCTGGACCCGGCGGTGGGACGGTGAGCCCAGCCCAGGGGACCGGCCCACTCCCCAGTCAGTCGTGATGTCGGTGGTGGGGCTGAAGAAGCAGTTCCACAAAGCCAGCCAGTTGTTTAGTGAAAAAATTAGTGGTGCCAAAGGAACGAAGCTCGCTGATGAATTTCTGGACATGGAAAGCCTGGAGAGCAGAGGGGTGAGTAGCTTCTTGTTTGCTTCCCGTGGCAGTTCTGAGAACCATGGAGAGTCTTAATGTATTTGAAACAACTAGGACGATGTGACCAGCTTGGCACAGGAGCAAGTCTAACACACCGCAGGGCAAGTCTGTAGCATCCCTGTCCCTTCCTGGAAAATAGATGTTACCAATAAAGCAGTTGCAGAAGTTCTTTCAAAAGCCACTGAATACCTCCAGCTGAATCCAGCATACAGAGCTAAGCTAGGAATGCTGAACACTGTGTCGAAGATCCGAGGGCAGGTGAAGGCCACGGGCTACCCGCAGACGGAGCGGCTGCTGGGAGACCGCATGCTGAAGCACGGCAAGGAACTCGGGGAGGACTCCACCTTCGGCAATGCATTGATTGAGGTTGGCGGAGGTGAAAGATTCTCTTGATATTAACATAAAGCAAATTTTCATTGATCCACTTCAGTTACTTCAAGATAAAGATTTAAGAGAGATTGGGCACCACCTGAAAAAGCTGGAGGGCCGCCGCCTGGATTACGATTATAAAAAGAAGCGAGTAGGTAAGATTCCAGACAAAGAAGTCAGACAAGCAGTAGAAAAGTTTGAAGAGTCAAAAGAGTTGGCTGAAAGAAGCATGTTTAATTTTTTAGAAAATGATGTAGAGCAAGTCACCCAGTTGGCTGTGTTTGTGGAAGCCGCACTAGACTATCACAAACAGTCCGCAGAGATCCTGCAGGATCTACAGAGCAAGCTGCAGACGCGGATATCAGCGGCGTCCAACGGCCCCAGACGAGAATACAAGCCCCGGCCGGTGAGGAGGAGTCCGAGTGAGCTCAGTGGGGTTTCCACCACCTCTGCTGCAAGGACGACAGGCTCTGACATTGCCATGGACCAGCCCTGCTGTCGCGGTCTGTATGACTTCGAGCCAGAAAACCAAGGAGAATTAGGATTTAAAGAAGGGGACATCATTACATTAACCAACCAAATAGATGACAACTGGTATGAAGGAATTATACATGGGGAATCTGGATTCTTCCCCATCAATTATGTGGAAGTGATTGTGCCTTTACCTCAGTAAACGTGAAACTCGAACTTGGGACAGAGTTTCTTGACTGAACGAGTTCACACCGATGTTCTCGCCGTGTGGTGTGGTGTTCTGTGGCCTCTGTGCGCTCTGAGCAACTTAATGACTTTTTGTGTGTGTTCTCTTTCTAATGCATTTTGTGTCAGTTTAATTTGTATAAATGATTTTTTTGTTCTTGTTACATGAAAATAGTTTGCTTACTGTTCAAATGAGTCATTGCTTAAATGTATTTGCTTCTGGTTGCTAAAAAATAAATCATACCTGTTGCAGATACGTCAGCAAATTGCCTATATACTGTTCGGCTGCAGTGGAATGCAACATTCAAAACTAAGAAATGCTAAATACTTTGTTTCTTGACACTGCGGATGGCATCTAGTCTTTTCTCTCTTCCTCGTTTTAAGCTTACCTGCGAATAGCCCAATAAACATGGTACACTGTGTTGGCAAAAAAAAAACAGAAAGCAGAACACATCTCCTCTAAGAATAGTCTTTTGCTCATTAACAATTTCACATATGCCACCTACCTTTCTGAATTATGTGTCTGTCCATAGGGATGAAGGAAAATTTTCAAATCTGTAGACCATTTCCACTCAGATGAAAATTATGGAAATGAATGCATTTTTACATTTGTATGAATAATTAAACAGTATCTCTATAAACATATTCAAATAATATGCCTGTTTTGGACTACTAAATAGCACAAAATAGTTGCATGCTGATGCAGTGTATTTTGTTCGTATGTGACACTGAGACAAGATTTTTACACAAAAGACTTGTTTTATTGAAATACTATGTGCATAGGTTATGGGCCGTCTAGCTGCATGGAAGCCCCCCTCCCCCTTTCTGCACAGTTGTTTCCATTTGGCTATATTTAACATATATTTTGACAGGAAACAAAATTCCAAAATCCTCCCTGTAGGAGAGCTACTAAATTTGAATTCCCACTTTTTAAATGCTAAGAACAACACAGCTGTCTGACGCTTCAGCTGACTCCCGTTTCCCTTCTCCTGCTCCCTTCTCCTGCCGTCCTTCACCTGCCTGCAGGCTCACCCCAAGGCAAGGCCGTGCTCCCGCCTGCATAGCCACGTGGCCTCGCAGAGCTCTGCTTATTTTGCAGCTGCAGATGATACAACATCTGGAGGAATCCAGAAGGTTCACTTGGACAGAATGCCACAACCCCCTCCCCAAATGCGTGCCTCAGAGGACAGGTTAGAGCTTCTAGTATAAGGAAGTAAAAATCACCCTTTATTTTCACCCCAGATAAACTTCCCAAAACCCATCTTGGCTGTCCCTGACCGCCCACTAGAGCAGCTGTTTGAGTTAAATTCTGTTTCGGAGGGAGCTGCTGGGTGTCAGGGTCGCTGCTGCCGGGCTCAGGAGCCACAGGTCAGGCCGAACGGGTGACAACAGGCAGGTTTTCCTTCTTAATCCAAAAGCTACTGCTGTTCATTCTCCAGACAATGGGCCACTTCCTGTCTGTCTTAGCCCAGGACAGCGGTAGCAGACAGACAGCACACTGTGCTGGGAGAATCCAAACCTGGGATGGGCCCTGCAGGACCCTTCTGGGGGTCATCCAGTGGCCTGCCCTTGTCCCCTGCTCTACATGGCCACCATGGATGACACAGCCCTGAGGACACAGCCTCTCCTCCCCACCTAAGGGAGACCCCAGGACCCAAGGTGGGCACCGGGCAGGGCGGTGTCCACGCGGACATCAACATCCCCCCGCCAGCCAGACCGCAGTCCTCTCCTGGGGCCACAAAGGCCACTTGAGCATCTCCGCCCCCCGCAGGGCCCAGATTGCACCTGAAGTCTCTTGGGAAGGCCAGACTAGGATTTAAAATGTCAAGAGACAGTGGTCTGTGCGACCCAAGGAGCTTCATTCTCAGAGAGAAAGAGCACATTGAGGCGTTTCCTAACAAAGCCTCAACCGCACGGTCCGACAGAAACGCTCTTTCCACAGCGCTGTAGCCCCTGATTCCTGAACACGCTGACTCAGTCTCAGGCTTTGGTCATGAAGCTGTAATTTTTTAAAAAGAATGCATTCTGTAAAATATTAAAATGGTAAGCTGCATTCTTTGGAAACAAGAATACACAAATGAGCATGTAAGTAGTGATGCATAATTTATCAAGTCTCAGGCCCACAGAGGAGTTGACAATGGAACCATATTTTTTTTGTTTGGTTTTTGGAGACAGAGTGCTACTCTGCAGTTCAGGGTGGCCCTGAAATCACTAAGTTGCCCAGGCTGGCCTCGAACTCGTGATGATCGTCCTGCCTCCACCTCCTGAGTGCTGAGATCACAGGAGTGTGCCACCGCACTCAGCTTGAAAGTTATTTTTTTAACAACCAAACAACAGGGGCTCCTAGGCTTTGGCATGAAGCATGTCACGACTCCTGAACGACACAACCTGCATACAAGGACTTAAGAGCTCCACTGGACAGTGAGATTCTGTAGTCTTCTCTGGTGGATGATGTCAGAGCTGAAGGCTAAAAGATACCTTGGTGGTATAGCTGGGAACAGACTCTGCAACAACAACAAAAATGCACAGTAAATATACATATCTATACCTAACTAGTCACTGCCCTTTCACTGTGGGGTGCAATTCCATGCCACAGCGGATGCCAACACACAGGCTGCCACTCAGAAACAGAGATGACGCCTAGGCATTGACCTCTGCTTATCACGCCCTGGCAGCCAGACCCAGAGGTGTGCAGGGCCGAGATGGGAAAGCACTGGTCTTCCTCCGCCCAGATCCAGCCAGCTCACACAGCTACTTCAGGGTTTTAGGATCCAGAAACAATAAAAGTAGGCCCACAGAAATAGCTGCTCAAGGGCGTGGCCCTGCGGCAGCAGGGGGAGGGAGTGTGCTTTTCATTTTGTCATTGCTGCTGTTTGCTTGGGCACTGTGTTTTGAAGACAAGTCTGGCCATTCCTATGCCACCCAGGATCTTCCCAAACCCACAGCCACGCTTTGTCCAGGGATGGTCCTGGACAGCGATTCTCCAAGTGCAGCTGCCAGCGCCACCCTGCAGCGTCACCCAGGAGACCTCAGCGATGTGAGGTGTCCATTGCAGGGACCATGAGAGCTTCTGCCCTTGGCACTTGGGACCATGCGAGGTGTGGGTCCACAGGACCAGGCACATCTACCTTGTCCTGACAGACAGGACTCTGGATGATGCAGATGTGGCTCTGATGGCGAAAGAGAGAAAAGAGGGACGACGCCATAAACAAATTTTGTCTGGGCGTGGTGGCACACCCACGCCTGGGATCCCAGCTCTCGGGAGGCTAAGGCACGGGGTCACTTTGAATTTAAGGCCAGCTTGAATCACATAGTGAGACCCTGTCTCAAAACAAAACAAACAAACAAAACAACAACAACAACCAAAACCAGATAAAAAAAGTCTAATTCTCCACCTCTGTTTCACTACACCAGGAAACTTTCTCATCTTAAAAAACACATCCTTTTGGGTCTGGGGAGGTAAACAATTACAACGTAATCTGCCCCTAATCAGTAACCTTTCTGTCACTTGATTTATAACAACAAACAAATTCCTGAGTGAGTAGATTTTGGAGTAACCATTTTAAATAATTTCAAATATGAGCAACCCACCTCTCTCTTTAAGGTCTTCAATGTAGACCTTCATAAACTCTTTATCAAAATGCTGGCGGTCCTGCTCACTTTCCTGGATTTCATCAGCATCTTCATGTTCAGGCTTAGTAATAGGGTTGTCCATGAGGCTGACAAACCTACTCAAGAAAGCACGGAGGTCACACAGCCGTCACACAGAGCACTTGCAGATCCTGCACAGAGAGGCTGCCCTGGGGGTTCTGGACCCCAAGT